GGAAAGAGTTGTCTCCTTCCTGTGTGAAGAATTCTTAGAGTGAAACAGCAGTGTCTACCCTGGTGATTTTCTTTTTTCTCCCATTAAAGAAACTTCATGCAGCCACCTGAACTATCAAGTATGCCCAGGAATTCCCCAGTGAAAAAAGGTGTGTTGGAGTTGCAGTAAATCAAGCTTTTGCAAACTGGATTATTGGGTGTTAGTGTATTAATTACTGTCTGATCAATGAGTAATTTTCCTGGGTGCCAGCATTTCTTTCCCTGAGGATGTGTTACATCTCAAGGTATTTTTCTACTGCTACAACAGGTACTTTTTTTGTGTGTGTAGGCCATTAAAAAGAAAATTGTCTTGATCTCTGCAGAATAGGCAGTTAGAAGAGAAACTCATGATGGCAATATAGAAGGACTTCAAAAGATAGAAATGGAATTCAGGTGCTTATTAATAAAAGGATAAAGATTATTATTTTAAAAAATAATAAAAGGAATGCTTTGCATCATTATACATTTAAAGTAAGTACAAAATCAGTTCATATATAGTGTTGCACTTTAACCAAAGTATTGATTCCACAGTTCACTTTATCTTTGGGAGGAAACAGATCTTATAAATAAGTTATGTACTAGATCTTAGCTCCATTTTGAAAAATGGAGCGAGGTTTGTTGTTCTTTTTTCCCCATGAGCTAAAAGCTTCTCGCTTATCTTCTCATTCCTCGTGATGAGGCTTTTTGCCTGCTGTGTCACTGCATATTCCTGCTCCCATCACAGTCCTGGTGCTCCCCACCTGGGGAAGTTGTTTTGCTGGCCTCGTTATCCATGTTGTTGTTGAGGATGTCATCACAATCCATCTGAGCCATCAGGTTGAAGCGTTCGGCCACGCAGTGGGCGGTGAGACGAGCCTCAGGGTCGTGGTCCCAGCACTCCGTGATGGTGTCGCACAGGAAGCGCATGCCCTGCAACCAGAAGGGCTGAAGTTAAGGTCTGAAGGCAGGAGGGAAGGGGAGCTAGAAGCTGAGCTAAAGCAATCACTGTTTTGCCATATTTTTCACAGCTTCCTGCAGAAATGCTGGTTTTGGCCAAACTTAAGCACAGGAGGAAACAGCCTTGGTAACTTCAAATGCAAATGCTTGCACTGCTACTGGCACTGTTTGTGTTGGAGAAGCAGCCTTGGCTTGCCTGGGATCTTGCCCCAAGCATTTTCCATGCACCCTGGAAATTTGCTTCTGTAGATTGTGGGCCTTAACTGGAGGCCAAAAAGAAACAGGCCTTCCATCTCCTCTCAGCCTTGCCCGATCAGATCGGAGCATCCTAAACTGGGAGGGACAGCAGAGGGTGCAGATGGTGACCTGCAGGCTGGGAGCTGAGCCCAGGAGCCAGGGTTTCAGCTCGTGCCCTGGCTCTTACACCTGGTTGGAGGAGAGGGAGGGAAGTCAAATGCAAGCATAGCAGTAAACTTCTTAAATCTGACTTTTTTTTTAGCAGCTTTCTGAAAGCACCGTGCCAAATAGTCATTGCAGTGTGCAGCTGAACTTTGTTTTCTCACCACAAAACAGTGTCTTGGTTTAGGTGGAATTGGATGGTTCTCAGCATGCTCCAGAACATGCTCAGTTCCTCTCAGTTACAATGGTTATGCCTCCCAATAATACTTTTTTTTTTTCAATTATCAATAAATTTTTTTCCAGTTATCTTGTGCTTTGTGTAGAGTCCCACTATTTTGGTTTTAGAAACAAAATGGCAGTATTTGGCTGGTATTTTTCCCACTCTTAAGGTCAGGTAGCACCAGAAGCCATGTTGAACCTTCCTTTACCTAGGTAATTCCTGTTATGTGCTATTGCTTTCTGCATCATTGTCAACTGAGGTTGCAACACCTGCGGAAAAATCATTATCCTAAATAATGTTTCATGGTTTTCAGTATTTTTTGTGTATTTCATAATTTACAATTAAGAGAACCCCAAAATCTCATATGGACCAACACAAAATGAAAATGCAAGTCCTACAGAAACACACCATTGGTGTCATCTGCCCCTCTGCACCTTTCTCTGAACTCACTCCTCTGCACTAAGGTTTGTTGTACTAAATCTTCCATAAGGGACACAGATTAGAGAGAACAGGATTGTGCAGTGAAACTGACAGATGGTGTGTCAGTACCTCTTATGTCACTTGTTAGCTTGGTCAAAAGGTTTTTGAGGGTAATTGATTAACTTGCAAAAAAATGAGCTTAGCTTAGCTGAAGCTTTTAAAATAAGCCTTCTCTCAAACAGAACATGGCACTGTCATATGGTTCATTCATTAGAGTTTCTGTACTTATTTTGCTGTGAAATAATGACATTTATTTGCAGTTGGCCTTGTAAGTAGTGGTGATGCTCTTTTGAGTGGTACAGTTGGAACATCTTGTTACGCTCACAGAATGGACTGAGCTTGGGTTTTGTATTTGATATCTTGGATTTCCAAAGGATCTTGAGTTTTACAAGTGTATTTTTAGTGGTAATACTGACTTAAGTTCCCCCTTCTCCTTCCTGTCCTGTACCAGCCCTTCAGTTCCACCAGTACAACAGTCTGTTCAGCTGCTTCATGAACAAGAACAAGGAATTTACCTGGCCTAAATAACAATTTTTATTATTTTTTTTTGTTAATGTGGTGGGGTGTGAAGTGAGGTAGAAGGATGGGCTTGAAGTGTTTGTAAGTTATCTGGGAAACTTTGGGGCTTCAATGGGCTTTATTGTACAGCCTTGTGAACAGTTGCCCTGGAGCTGCTGATGCGCAGCACACTGGGTGAGTCAGCTCTGTCAGGGAATTTAATGCTTATGTCTGCTGAAAATCTTAAACTGTGGGCAATAACCTAGGTCCTTACTTGACTGAGAGCAATCCTGATGGTTGGAGTAGCATTTGGAGCTCTACGTCAGACTTATTTTCATTGGTAGGAACACCCAGGGGAGCATCCTGTTCAGGTGAGCAATTTGTCTCCCTTTCTTGGTGTCACCCAACAAACCGGTGGCTTTCTGCTGCTTCCCAGCAGATGGTGCTGCCCTGTGCTGCGATCTGGGGAGACTGGTTGCAAAATGTAAAGCCAGGCTTGTAAGGAGACATTTATTAGATCAGCTAAGATTAGTCAGAGGCAAACTTTCAGGAACACAACGTGGCTTTTCTGTTCCTCTTCCCCAGTGAATATCAAGTGGTCTCATGAAACTTGCAACCTTACAAGTCTTGCTCTGTTTACGTGCTAGACCAGCCCAACTTCAGCAACTTTATTTCTCAGAGGTGATTTCAGTCAGCCCTTCTTCAGCTCAGCAAACAGTGCAGTTATGGTCAGGCTGTATCAGAGTGGGATTTTTTTTGACCCAAGTCTATTTTTCCTGTGGTTTCAAACTTTATCAGAGACCCTGGGAGGTGAATGTCTGTGGTGAATAGTCAAAGGCATCAAATATATAGCAGTGCTGATTGAAGTTCCAGTATTTGCCTTCATCAAGGAAAAAGAATGAATGAGCTTCAGAAATGGACTCACTGGCTGATAAACTCACTGATGGTCCAGCAGAAACCACAGATTCATTTGATGCTGTTTGCAGTGTTGGTCAGTCAGGTCAGTTTTGAGTCTTTGGACAAACATGGTTTTGAGAGGAGATACTGTAAGGAACACATGGTCTTCTAAGGTTATGAACTGATATTGTTTCTCTTGAAAAGCCTGGCTTTACCTGCTGTGCAGGCAGTGTGGAAGCAGCATCAGGGTGGGTTTGGGGAGTACTGCAAATGCTGTGCTGAACACTGCGAGGCTCTGTGAGTCAGTGGGGTTGATGTCTCAGCTTGTTTTTCAGATGAACAGCTGATCTGCTGATTGTTGATCAGTGGATGGTGTTTTCCCAAAGACATGTGAAATTTAAGAAGTGCCAAAGTCAGGGAAGATATGAAAATGACTGTCAGTGTGCCTGTTACTCCTTGTGTCCTCAGTGCATGGAAGGAAGTGCTGGACCTGGGGGAAAGAGGACCACGTCAGGGCCAGGAGGTAGCTATGTTTCTGGAGCTGGTTGGTCTGGGTGTGCTTGGGGATGGTTTTAACAGAGCACATCTCATAATTGCTGACGTATATATATTCCAGAGTGCTGAGTTCTGCTTTCTGGGCTGAAATGCTCTGCTTTCAGACTGGTGAAAGACTTCCTCTTGTCAAGATGTGCCTAGCAGGTTTCCTGCTCTCAGCTTCATGTGTGTTTCCTGATTGTTTCACTTGAGGGAGATGCTTCCTGTTTTGGCTTTCATTGCACAAGTCCTTCTCACTCATCAGATGAGCTTGAAACCTCCACAACCAAGCAGGCAGGAGACTGGATGCACCTTCCTCCTCTCTGTCCCTGCTGTGAGATGGCTGTGAGGGACTGTATGTTTCCTGCACTAGAGCTTCAGTAACGACAGGGTTATGGGAGAAATATGGTGACTCAATTATTTTACTGTTTCCTGAGAATAGCCTGCACTGAAATGCTCCGTTCTGCTCTTATCTGCAAGATAACTGAATACCATTCAATTGATGTTCATATCACTTCCTGATCAGGGTAATTTATTAATCATCAGATTTTGCAGTACCCCTGGGTAATGGCTTTTAAACACCAGGGAGTTGGGTCTGGTGGGGCTTATTTGAGCTTACCCAGCCAAGAAGCAGCTGTGTAAGTAGGGTCTAGGAGTTCTGCCTGCTTTTACTTTGATTACAGCTGCCATGATTTTTAGGCAAACGTGGGAAAACATGTCTTGCTCTTTTCTGAACCAGGTGCTCCCAGTTTACCTGATGCACCAGCCAGCTGCTTGGGATCTCGGGGCGTCCCCTGCCGTGCAGCACGATGTCCCTCATGGTATCCACACAGGGCTGTTCCTGGACTTTTGACCCAAAAGGCAGCTCATAATTCTTTACCTCTGCAAGGAAGCAACAGCAGCATTACAGGATGTTTTTCATGCATTCACTGCTTTGCTTTGCTATGGTCCAGTGGATGGGAATAAATTTGGTTTTATCAGTCTGCAAAAAGAAAGAGATCTGGAAACAATTTAGAATTTGAACACTGAAACATAGTGCAGGGTTTTCATGCAGAGATTGTTTTTAGACACAGGGCTGACCACCTTTTTGAACCCAGGAGTACCTGGTCTGTCTTTGGGTGAGAGATATTTTGAGCAGGTAAAATGTGTTGTGCTGGTGGAAAAAGAGAGAGGTGACTATGAT